GGTAATCCCTAGAAAATTTTTACATCACTATAAATTATCAAGTATAAAGTCAACTAAACAGTGCAGCGATCAATGAACTGTACAAGACTTAATTCCTTGCGCTGCAGAGACAAACACGTAATATTTTGTACAGATAAAAATACGTTTAGCACACCCATCAAAGAAGGCACATTAACTGCTTTATGAGTTCTTCATATAGTCTCAGTTGATCTTACCACTCTTACATCCACTACATGTACTAAAATAAAAGTAAACACCAACAATCTTCAGAGCAATTCAAAGAGGAACTACAGTAGAGCTTTAGCCTAACCCTATGTTACTCAAGGAAACTTAACCAGATATTGTTAAACATAACTAACCTGATAAACAGGACGACTATTAATTTCAACTATATGGTCGCCTAACTTAATCCGCCCGTCAGCAGCAACACGACCTTCTTCGTCGATCTGCCTAACTTCTACAGACTGCAGCCGAGCATCGTTCACAGGGTCATACACAGGAGAAATCTATAATGCTGATATATGAAACTTTAAGAGCTTAAAAATGCGTCCACTCAATTTTATAAAAATACCTCTATTCCTAAAGGTTGATTGACTAACGAATCAGAAAGCACCACGACCGTCTGCAAAGGGTTTACAGCGGGAAATAATGACAGGCATTTTTCGTTTGATAATGAAGAGGATCGAGAATGGTCATTTTCAGCAGCTAACGTTTGCTCCAGCTTCTCCTTGGCTTCAAAAAAACTCTCCGTAATCCGAGATTTTCGAGCTGACGACCGCAGAAGAACCGCTGCCCCGTCGCCTAAAAGCGATGAACGAGCAGCATGAGCTGCGTTACCGCTTTTAACAAACCTTCGCTCCAACTCTAAAAGAACAGCCCATTAAAAACTGCCAAGCAGTCTAACTATTGTGTGCTTTGTAATAAACTGACAAAATACTACTGATAATTAGTGGTTTCTTACGCCATCGACATTCAACTTTTTCAATAAACTTCTTCGCCTATTAGGCGTTATAAGACATAAAAGTACGTTAATATGATAAAACTTTTAAAAAAAGCGGCTTGGAACGCAGAAACAAACAAATTATGCAAGGAGACCATCATTGCCGCTCAAAAATAATTAAGATTTAGGCAAAAAGTTAAACGAACATATTCAAACAAAAAAATTTAACGAGATGTGGAAGCAATATTCTTAAGAACTAATGTTTTTTTTGACTTTTTCAAAGTCTTATTATCAAAAGCGGTTTTCACACCGCAAGAAAAAAAACGCAAACCACAAAGACAGCAAACCTCGACTGCTTAATAAAAAAATTTCTCCGTTAGCTAACAAGTGAACAAAACAAGAACAACTTGTAACCCCACTTGACATCGTCTCTTATAAAACTTGTTTATAAATTTGACGTTTTCACCTCCCACAATTTAAGAAATAAGAAGCAAAGAGAAAAAGGAGCATTTTTGGTGTGGATGTCGATTGAACACGTGACAAACAGCAAAAAACTGTGCAAAGATTGGCACATAACCAAGGCAAATAAATTCCCTTCTTCATGAGACGTAAACGCTGTAATAACTGTCGCTAAATGAACTTCCAACACATTCACACCTTTTAAAACTAATTTTTTCTCAGTGGAAATTGGTTCCTAAAATAAAACAGTTCTGCTTGAGTTTAGAAAGTCTCCAAATAGATACCTCTTAGTTTCTCTCCCTTCTACTGAAAATTCAGAATTTGTATAATGCTCCGTTGAAGGAAAAAAAGCCGGAATTCCTAACAACTAAAAATACTTGAAACTATGAAAAATACGAGTACCATCTCGGAATTCTAGAATTAAGACAAAAAAAGTATCAAAAGTTGTACTGCGAGTTTGAATGATAAAGAAGTTCAATTAAAATCAAAATTCCTTTTGATATTTAGTTTTAAGTGATGTTGAGGGGGGAAGTTGAGAAAGCAGCAGTAGCTTATTTCACCAGTATTAGAAAAATCAATCCCCGGTGTTTGAAATAAACAAACCAAAAGTCTTTTTCTCCCTAAAAATTATTTGGTCAAATAGACAACAAGTAAAAATATAATCATAATTCTAATGCTGACCAAAAGTAGAAAACTAAATTTGAAAAAATTTCAAAAGCTCCTTCAAAAAGCCCCTCTAGAGAAAAAAAATCACAAAGAACACAAAGTGCAAAACCGATGAATCGTAGCCTGTGGCTTCCAACAGAACCCGCGATATTTAACGGAG